TGCAGAGGAGCTACTGCGCATGTACAACATTTAACGAGAGTCAGGGTGCATTTGATTTCACAGGCTGCATACCTCCAAGCACCCGGTCTACCTGGACTGGGTCTTCCAAGAAAGGAGGCCGGAAGTGTTTGACTATGGATTCAAACAGGTCCAGCCTTCCCCGGCTTTCACCACCCATAAGCACTGTTGTCTAGCAACCACAAAGCAGGTAAAGAATGGATACCGACTTCTCCCCACTGCTCTGGGTACTAATACCATTTTCGAGAATCTTCACCAGCAGTACGGTCATCTCAGTTATCAGATTTTTAGTCCCCACACTGCAGAGATATTAGAATCTGTTTTTAAATGTTAGCCATCTCCATTTGCATAGGGACAGATAAAACCTTTCAATAAACCAAATAACTGACACATATCTGACTCACTAACCATTCAAAAAATATATTTTCATTAATTTCAGATGTAACTTCCTACATACTTGTATTATATTAAACTGCACTTACAATATTCACCTCTGTTCAGCACCAAGTTCCATTTTCCTCAGGGCACAGATCAGCCAGCTTGCTTAGGCACGCAATGAATCATGGGAAACCCAGAGCTACATAGAGTACACCGGACCCGTGTTTCAAAACGGGCAAAAAGAAGGATGCATTCTTTGGCCGCATAATGAGGAGTCTTCCAATCCGAACAGGCCTTGGCACCGTGCTATGACGTAATCGGCCAGCAAGCCTGGCCTTCAGAGGAAGCAGCCGCTGAATTCAAACTCTGCATCAATGGCCAAAGATTTTTGCACCCCAGGGTGGAAATATGTCACCAATCTGACGCCAAACAAAACAGCTTTACTCGTCATTAAAGATTAAATATTTATTTTGCACATCTAAAAAATATATAAATTTTTATTTGTTTTTTTATGTCTTAATCAAGGTCAAGGCTTGCAATGCCAATTGGATGCCAGTGAATAACTTTCTTCTTCAGATATCTAAGAAACAAAAACAAAATATATCTATTTCTGATTAGTTAAAGAGGGAATAGTCAAGCATTTCATCACATATGTCCTTTTATTTATATAAACTTCCAATTTTTTGGAAATTGTATTTGGCCCGAAAGAAAAGTTTATTTAATTCATTTAAATATATATCACATAACCAATGAATTAACTAAAGTCTAAAGAAACCGATTTTTGTTTCAATTCAGACTAACATTTAAGCCACAGTTTTGTTAAAAAATGTGTGAATAAGGGCAAAACCAATGTGGATACAGCCAAAACATACTCCCACCAAGTGTGAGTGTAAAGTCCTGTTCCTCAGCATTTCTTTCACTGCTTAAAATTGAATCAAACACCCTCTAAAAGAAGATGGAAGATGTGGTTGAATATTTAAACTCTATATACAATACAGGAGATTGAGTGAGGAGAGACGCAGCAAGCTGGGCGGATGTCCTGAGATTCATGAAGTAGCCCAATGGGCCATCCAGGGAGGCAGTGCGAGCTGCAGACTACATGGACAACACTCTGCATTTGATCAACGGGACTTTGGCAAAACGCCACAAACGTTCCATCAAAAACACAGATTGGTGTCTATGTTTCTCTCTAAGGCACGCTGGCATGGCTGGAAGTCTAAGCTAACATTTGTTTTTCTTATGCTTTTAGTAAGAAATTATCTCTGCGAGGGATCTGTAAGTGATTGATAGGCTGCTCTGCTAAGTCAGGAATGTTCACTGTAAGGAACTTCCTAACCTGAACAATTGTCGCAATGCAAATAGCTTCCGCAACAACCTGTAAGAAAACTTTTTCTTAGAATATTTCAACTTCACACAGCTGCATAGAAAAATAGCTACAACAGCAAAATAATGTCCTTTAAAATAGTTTGGGAATGTGGCATTTAAGTTTGGGTTTAAATTTCACTAATATGCCGGGGCCTTCTATAAAAGCATGGAATTGTAAAACTTATTTGCTCTCAATTTAGTTCAATTTATACAGCAGTAAATAGTTTTTCCCCATTTGGTAGGATTCCTATAGGCATGTAGACCACCGTTCTCTCTCCAGTTTCCTAAGTAAGTGTTGATCTACATTAAATAGGATCCAGCTTTCTATTTTAAATTGCTTATACATGGTCTAGAGCAGCACGCAGAGCTAGTGACCCCATCAACAAAATCATCAATTTGTGAAGAGCAATAAATTAAATGGTTGCCTTCTGCAGGATTTTATAGTGATACAGATGAGATAAAATGTGGAACAGATTCTTTAAAAAGTCTTACTGGATTATCTTAGAATAATCTGCTAAAGTGAGAGCTTCTTTTGGGGGAGGAGAACTCTGAAAAAGTAATTTTAGAAGTTACTAAAAAGTACAGAGTTTTGCTGGAATACTGGTATTTCTTCACAGTCAATCACTTAATCACGTTCTCTTTTCTTCTCTGATCATCTGCTGTTCACTGAGTAGGAGGACGTGAAAGTATCTGAATCCCAAATTGAAAGTACTTAAAATTAAATGAACATCGATTCAATTCTGTACCTTATTTTGTATGTTTTAGAACATAGATTACAATGCATTGGTTATGATCTGCTGTTTCCTTCTATTGTAAACACCTAAATTCACTGATATTTTAACCAAAACAGGCAAAGTCAATAAAACATATCAATCAATCAATTGCAATTTCTTCAATATTAAGTTTTTTTCAATTATCTCTCAAAATCTTAATTAATAACATCTGTGTGATTTAATATACTCATTTAATGGTCTTCAGTTTACCAACCTACTTGCATATCCTCACTAGGTAAAATTCATATATTCAAGAGATTCCTTTAGTGAAAATAAATAAACCAATTATATATTAGAAGTGGAATGTGCATTCTGCAGGAGGAGTATCCTGTTATCCTCGTCCCATTTCTAACCCACTAGACATGGGAGTACTGATGTAATGTTGTCATAGTTGAAAACCAAATCAATTAAATAATGCAAAGATTTTATGTTTGAGAACTAAAGTTTATCTTGAAGAATTTTGAATGTGCTCATTTTAGGTTTAGACTAATTTAGAGCAATCGGAATGTGTTCAAACCAATTCACAATATAAATTCATGTGATTTGCGATTAAATTAAATGACCTGCAAATTCATTTAAAGTTCATCTTTTATCCAGTGGTTTTCCATCTGGTTACTGGAAAACTGACTGTGATACACAAATACATTCATTCCAAATCACAATTTTTTTAACACCTTCATAATGCTGCTGTTCACCTTCATCAGTTCTCAAGTTCTAAAACAAAGAAAAAAAGGATAGAGCACACTGAAATATGTCAAAAAATGATTGCCTGTTATCATACTCTGGGTTCTAAGTTTTACCGTTGTCTTGGAATAGTAGTAGTTTGATGTGTTTTGTCAGAAAAGCCATTAACTCAATAAGAACTGTTGTGCAAATCTTTTCAACTTTTTCCTTTGTGAATACTTCTCTGTATTGGAGAAGTGCAGTGGCCTGGGGAATCATTTACAATAACTCATATGCGTCAACATTTTAGGTCCCAAATTTGCAGTGTGCTTTTAACAAAATCCTGGATATAATTGGAAGTTATAGAGGAACTTTTGCATGCTTTTTTTAGGCCTGCTTAATGACTGTTCCTGAGAAAAAAGCAAATACCACAATCTTAGGTTTTCTCATCTATTTACCATGAAGAAACATCTTGTCAGGATGTAGCCTGCACATATTCCATTCATATTTGCACACTAGAAGTAAGAACTCAACATTCTGGCCATATCCAATTCTCCTCAAATTCTGTAGCTGTAGGATGAATGCAAATAAGCTTTAAGTACCATAATTTGACATTATGTCATATGCAGCAATGTTGCACTGTGAATAATTCATTCCTCAAGAAGAATTAAAGATTTATGTATGACTAATTGCTTTCTTGATTGTTCCTTTACTGAAAAAAAAAAAACATCAAATAAAAACAGACCTGGATTTTTTTTAATTCTCAAGGGGTGGTGTTATGTTTTTACATGGGATGAATTCTACTTATCTGGACTTGCTGTCCTGCCAAATATACAGTCCCGGTGCATGGGATATAAATTCTGTATGTAACACCAGCTATCTTTCCACTCAGTGCCATTAACCAAGCTACTGAACATACCCAAGAGTTTCAAGCAGGAGGATGATTTGACAAATATATTTATTAAGATTGCGATGTTGACAA